CCTCATGGCGAGAAGGTCCCGAAAAGGTGAAAAATTGGAATACGAAATTCTGCCGAGCTGCCTTTGAGCAGAGGAAAGCGAAAGACCAACATTTGCAAATTAGTCAGCTAATAACTGGTGATAGGTACAGCTCCTTCACACCTACATGACTACCTACACTCTATCACTACAGACGACAAAATGACTAAACACTACAGTAAGTGCAGAAAACCGCCAGAAAAACCTCAGAAACTTTCGCTATGTCATTCAGCATTCTCTGAGTTCAACTGACGTGTTTCTCGCACATTAGCAGACCTTGAGATCACGATAGACGATGTTGTTGGCATGAAGGTAGCCAAGTGCCAGAACAATCTCAGCTCCGTAAAAGCGAGCTCGAGGCTCTGAGAAGCCTTCCTTTGAGATTTGCACTTCTCTGTTCAGGTGGTAGTACAGATCGCCGCCAATTGCGAATTCCATCACAAAGCAGAGACGATCAGCGGTTTGAAACGAGTACTTCAGCTCCTGTACACAAATCTTATAACAAGAGCACGTTCAGATGTAAGAACAAAAGAAAACGCACTTTCCGGCGACCTACAATTTGACGCAAACGCACTACAGCAAAAGGGAATCCTCTAAAAATTGCAGAAATTAGCCGTTTTCAAACTGGGCTTGATTCTGGTAGGACAAGATAATGCGGACGAAAAAAGCAGAGGACCTCACATAAGGCATAAGCTCATATAGTGATAGGTAGAGAACGTTGCCCGAAAGCTACCTACTATGCATTACCTTTCATATCTTCAAACCACGTCTCACAACAGTGAGATTACATTTACGCTTGACACACGATCAAATGAAACTCCCATTAGACCTACATCTCACAAACTAGCCTTCCACTGCCAAAATATATTTGAGAGATTCCTTTCATGTACGATTACGAAAACAAGCTTCTTTGGAGAACATGATTTGGTGAAAAAGTCGTTGCTTGTCAAAGACTTCCAGTGGCGGTCGCCGAAAAGTTTTTTGAGATGCTTCCCAAATTTTTCCCGGACCCATATGACCCAAAACCT